GAACACGAGGTCAAGGAATATGCCGCGTATGTGAGTATCGAGTTTATATCATCTGCGTATCAGTTATAAGACATGACCAATGACTATTTTTATGTAAGTAGGTCATGAATTTTCCCTTTGCGCAATAGTTTTCGAAGTTGCGCAAGGGTCTATTTTTGCGCAAGTAATAAATGTATAATACATAACATAACATTACGCCTTTTATCCCCGAAGGGGTAGGCAGAGGTATACATTATGCCACTGTGCAATGTAACACCAATTTTCAATACTCATTATTCATAATAATAAAGGCTCAATCAATTATAGATAAATTATTTATTAATGGAACGTGTATTTTCCTGCAGAAATCTCCATCGAAGCAGATAGGTGCGACTCTGCGCAAGTCGTTCCGTTGTGTGCCGGAGCGTGCGCGTGCGCACCTGCCGCGCTACCCCGACCAACCGGAGCGGACGCTCAACCTCAGCCATATCGTGTCCGTGTACTTACATTACTACTTCATACTACACCTAACTGCTATAAACATTACACCTTTAAACACAGTGACTTTTTCACTATTATCAATATAGCTTGTATATCTGTACCTAAATATTGTATGTTTATCTATCCACCTTCAGGCCACCATCCCCAGTGCCGGCCCACAATGGGTTCCCCGAGTATGTGGGTGGGTATGTCAACACCGGATCACTGGACTCTAGGTCGTCGCGGTCCACGCATCGCAGTAAGTGTAATATTAAGTACTATTTACATACCTACTTTTTCTTCTCATATAATATCTTCTGATTTATTCCGCAATGAAATACCAACCAAAACAGTTGTCCATGTCCCTGGGAAGCGCCGGACTGCAGTGCGGTTTTAGAGGTTGTGGCGGGCTTGTCCAAAAAAAAATTTCTTAATACCTTCTTATTGCAAGCACAGATTTCTAACATCAATATAATAAACGTCTGAGGGTCATTGGCGGTCATCGACGTGCTCCATTGTAGGCGAGATAGTGGTCAAACGTCGGCCGATCAAATATGAAATAAAAAAAAATTAAAGGGTCCTTAAAAATCTAGAGATTGACTTTATTTAAAAACGTTAATCATTCAATTTAGTAATAGTATTCTTTATTTAGAAGACACTCTTTTTCAACTGTCAAACACCGCGAGGACACCGGTGACCGCAACCTTTCCGGTTCTTTAATTGTGTCTATAATGATGGTACTCGACGAGTTAACTCGTAACTTCTTTATTTCTTTTTTCACGATTAAGTCTTTAGGACATAGTTAACTTTGATTTTACTTTTTTTATGACTGTGAGATTTATGACCTAAATAATTTTAAAGAAATGTCAAATGTTTTTGCTATTTCCTCCTTTCGTTCTAAGGTATAGCAGAGCACCTATCTCGCGGTGTTGACGACGAACACCGCCTCATAGCGCGGTACGCCGCTAGACTCGCGCACGAGAACAGGACTATGGTATGTAGCATACTATATCAGACTATATGTACTCTAATAATTGAATATTATAAAAAAATATTGTTCTATTATAATAATGTTTATAACTTTGCAGCCAAGAGCCGGCAGATCAGCGTCTCTTACTCCAGAACTAGTAAGTAAAAGTAGTTTAATCTTGAAATTAATCTTTATTCCAAATATAAAAATAGTTGGACAACATACAAACATATTTACAAATTGTTATTGGAACACAGTGTAAACTGAAATTAAAACATTTAGTAATATCTGAAGGAACAGCTACAATAGGGTAGTTTCCTAAATTTTATTTTGATGTCCGTCTGGTAGATTATTTTAAAACATTAGACACGTATTTTTTCCTTTCTCACAAAATTAAATGCTTTTGACGATTTATATTGATTTGAAATGTCGCGTGACATCACAGTGTGCTACAATATGTACCACGTTATGACATAACTACCTCCCACTCGCTAAACTTAACGCCATTTTATTTAAGTATTGTAACTTTATACGAGAAAATAAAAAAATACGTGTCTAATATTTTTTCATTATCTAACTGAAGGACTAATTAGATTTTGAATTTTCTTACCCTGGAAACTACTCTATTATATTTTTATTTAACCAAAGCTTAGTAAAGACCTCAAGTGAGTCAAGTCAAAGTCAAAATAATTTATTTCAATTAGACCATGAAGGTACTTTTACACGGAGACCTTAAATTATTAAATTATTATTCTAAACTAATAAATTTTAGACTTTAATTTTAGGTACTATTTAAAAAACTGTATGCATAAATAGCTGAATCTAAATAGATCACAAATACGACCCTTTTCACTGTAAGTTACACATGATATTTTAATGTTATCATGTATTTGTTTATTTATTTATTTAATCTTTTATGTATGTATACAATACAACAAAATAGTGATACGTAAGGCGAACTTAATACCTTATTAACTTAATTTGTTCAGGGCCGTTCATCATCGGAAGGTTCGGAAGTGGATGCGGCCAGACAACAACGCGAGCTGATCTCACAGCTCGAGGCCAAGAACAGGGAGATCATGAGGGAGATTGCTAGGCTCAGGTGAGAAACCATTGCAATACTTTGGTATTATAATCTACCAGTATATATCCAGAGATGAGTGAATCGAGTGTCCTTTTAAACGAGTTTTTAAATCCTACTCTTATGTTACTTATGTTATAGGGTAGTTTCCTAAATTTTATTTTAATGTCCGTCTGGTACATTAATTTAAAACTTTAGACACGTATTTTTTGTTTTTTCTACTGGTTGGTTCGTTGCAGTCGGCCAATCAGAGTACCAAGCGCGGTCTCGTTTCGATAACTTTTAAAGTAAATCAAATTCGTACTTAGCCCCAGATAAACAACGTTCTATTGTTCCCTATTTTCATTAGTCTAGTATTTTAAGAGGCAAAATCGTCAACCTCCTTAAATCTATCTTTAATAGATTATTTATATTGACCTTTATTATTCTGAATAATAAAGTTGAAAATCTATTGAATAATGCATGAAACAACTGAAAGAAATAGTCTTGAATAAAACAAGTTACACAAGTATAACTTATACCGTCGATATACAGCACTTTTTGTGTTGATTTCAAATCAATGCCCTGATTTCAAATTAAATAACTTGCTTGAACATATTCAGGGGCGTAGCTAGCGCCGTATCTGCCGTATCAATTATATAGGACCCCCGGACTACGGGGGCCCCCAACGTGTGTAAACAAGAATATAAAAACTTCTCAATTTATATTTTATTTCAGTAATCACAAAATACATGCGTTCAAAGGTTGGCAGAAACCATGATATAGAGAAAACTATATAATAGAGAAATCTATCCTATGGTAGAAACTTTGGAAAAACTAAAGTAATCATTATCCGATAATTTGGGCAGAGAGTTACAATATTATGTAAAAAATGTTATAATATTACATAAAAAAATGTCTTCTGAGAAATATTTACCTTTCATAAGGGCCCCCAAACAAATTTTTATACGGGGCCCCGCCAAGATACGCTACGCCACTGAACATATTGTTTACCTTCCAGACGCCAACAAGAAGCGGAAGCTACCGCAGGCGGTGGCGTGGGTTCAGCCCCGCTGGTGTCGGAGCTCCGTCTGCTCAGACAGCGCAAGGACGAGTTGGAGGGACACCTGTCCTCGCTGCAGGAGTCACGGAAACATCTCATGCATCAGCTCGAAGGGCTCATGAGGATGCTCAAGGTATGTTGAAGAAGAATTATTATATTTTAGAAGCTAATAGCTTCGGTTTGCGGATTCGTCCTCGTTCCCAGGACAAATAGAACCTTTGTGTTATCTTGATTATGATCTATTTGCATTTCTAGGTGCAAAATTTTGTTTTATTTTGATAGAAGTTTTTGCACGAAATAGTTACAAATCCATGGAACTAATTTACACATTTATAATAGGAGAAGTATTGTTAGCAAAATCTTACAGTCAACTATGGTAACGTTATATACTATGAGTAGGTAAGTAATATACTACAAGTGTGAGCTCGCCATGCTTCGGCACGAATGGGGCAGCTCGACCGGAGTGATACCACGGCCGAGCAGAAAACCGACGCTTGCGTTGTGTGATTGAGGTTACTAGAGGCCCAATTTCCCAATACTCGAATCCCCAATAATCCTTAAATTCCTAATCCCCTAAGGGCGTAATTCCTAACGCACTTATACACGTAACTCCTCTGTGTTCCGGGTGTGGCCATGGGCGGCGTCTATTGCTTACCATCAGGTGATCCGTCCGCTCGTTTACCGGCTTATGCTATAAAAATATGTGCACCTGCAAAACCAGAACCATCACAGGTGCGTTGTGAGCCATGAAAAGTGTTAAGTAGTCTGATATTAGTAGAAAGTTTCATAGTGATGTCTTCAACCAATCGTTGAGATTTAACTGTATTTCCCTCTTAGATAAAGTCTTTAAATTAGATTCAAAATTTCTTTATGTACTAATATGTCTATGAACTCTTAAACAGTTGAACCGGGATTGATGAAATATTTTCATTGTATTGTTTTACTCTTACCATGCAATTATACAGCGATAAACGATCGTGTTACAACTCCATTGGCCTAGTCGTTAAATGTAACGTTGTGTGTTTTCAATATCGAAATTCTCTGTAATTACACGGCTTGTAATGTAATATATGTAGTATAGTAATGTAACTGGGTACTGGTATATGTACTGGAAAGTACATTATAGCTTACAAGTACTATAATTACACATACAAATTTATATTTATGCCTCTACAAAACTGCCAATATTATAGATTATGAAACTAAGTTCCCTCCCTCGGCTTCACTCACGTATTCAAATTAAAATATAAATCGTAATCCAGCCTCCAGATTGCTTCTAAATCCCCGAGAGGACACTCGTGTCCTCTTCTCACTCCATTATAGACCTTATTTCCAATGTTTCAGGGACTACTTTTGTATGAACGCTTTTGGTTATTGAAAATCATTTGCAAGTGGTTCATATATTCAGATACAAAAAATATTTCAAAGGCGCTTCGTTATGATGTGACAGAAAGACCAATAAATAATTTGGCAAATTTGTAATATTAATAAAGAAAGATTACACATAATAATTTTTACACTTTATAATGAAACTTAGTCACAGTTTTTCATATATGTACTGATGTACATTAGGGTTGTAATGGGACACACTTTAATAACATTGGCACCCATCCCATGACGCACTTTAGGAATGGTGACCACTTCCCTGAAATAATAAAAAAAAAATTTATTATGAATTTATGACCCGCGTTATCGAGATGTAAAAGTAAAACCACCCCGTTCCAAGTTACAACTCATGATAAGTTGCCTATGTATTATTCTATTCTAGACTGTAGTCTATCCCTTTCAAATGACAATGACCAAATTTGTATGGAGCGTGGTGCCTTTTAATTTTTTCGCGGCAGTTGATCAAATGTGGATAAACTGATGCAGAATAACATTACAAACAAAAAAATGTATGGGGTCTTATATCAAAAACACAGTCCGAACCGAGTTAAGTCAGTTCAAAGATGTGAAAATAGTGGTATATTATTCCTGTTATTTTGTTGATGGTGACCGTACACAACACATATTTCTTCATTTACTTGTCAGAAATATTTTGTAATTAATGTTTATAAACGATTTCAAGGAATATAGTAAAGCTTGTTGTGGGCTTATTTCTTTTTTTTTATTTTTTGTTATAAGGCCAAGGAATCAGAACAAAGTGAACCATTAACTGGCCAATGCTGAAATAAAAAAAAACATTTCGCTTGATTGGCTAGCGTATTCACTTTATATGTATACGGTTTAAGGCCTATGACAGATTTTCATGATCAATTTCCTCTCAGTCGAAAACCCGCAAAATACTTTACTGAGCCTTATCATAAAATGCTATGTTCGTCAACTGAGGCGTCGGTAGCGGATACACGAAAAAATCATTTTTCTGTCTACTTCTCCCGACTTACTTCCGATTAGTAACTAATCTAACTACAGTTAATACTTATAATACAGTTAATAATCTATATCTAGCATAAGATTCTGTACAAAGATATCGTCATTCAGTCACCAAGTGATGGATTATATTTCGACTGATCACATTATATGAAAAAATTATGCGCTCATCTGACGTATAGTCCATCACTTTACAAAGTCGACGGTTTCCTTTCTTGAAAATATTATGCTAACTATAAAGTAGATGAGTCTACCACCAGGAGTCAAAGGCAAAAAAAAACTTTTAGATTTTTGGACGGCTGCCACTACTCAACCCACCACTGGTACCTCAGCTGACGCTCATGGAGCTTCATGACACAACTCCTAGAAGCATCCCACAAATTATCGACTGAGAGAAAATAGCAAATAAAAATTAGTGCCTGGCAATATGGATATATTGTGGTGTAATATGGTGTTCCTGTGCCCGGCGTACAGTGGCGCGCAATTTGAAGTTAGGAATTGTGACAAAAATATGAATAATTTGAATAAAAAAACCAAAGTAAAATGTTTGACTTCAGCTCTTTTCGACGCTCATAACTCAGTCCAGACTGAGATTTCCATATATGAGCCCATACACAATTTCGTTTGTAATGTCATTCTAGATAATATTTTCCATAAACCATCGACTGCCGCCAGAAAATGGAAAGGCACCAATTTTAGTCAATGCCCTTTCATGCATATCTGTTCAGTGGTTTTGGCGTGAGGAAGTAACAAACACTATGCACAATAATGCAAGTAGGATAGTATAAATTAGATCGAATGGTCGCAAGCGCTACTTCCGTACAAGGGAGGTCGGATTTGATTTACGTAAAATATTTTTACGATTGTCAAAATTCACATTAAGAAGCTCAGTCGTAGATGGGGCGTGTCTCTATTCTATCTAATATTAGAGAGAAGTAAGAAGTATTACGCGGCGTAGTGTTATTTTTGTATAATATTCTGTATATGATCTTGTACGTAATATTGCCAAACTCTCTTATGTCAAGAAAGTCTATAATATAATCCGTCAGTGGACCGTCACGGACTTTTGATCATGATATGTTGTGTTGTTACGTTAAATATGAAAGAAACTCAAATTATTTTCCGTAAAATTTTATTGCAGCTATAATAATGCTAGCGTCTTAGGGTCAAGTTTTCCAACGCCACATACATTTTTATTGAAGATTAACTTTGTCTATTTTATTCTACAGCTAAGAATTAACTGATGATTAACAAATCAGCCCTTAACGTCAGCGACATTTTCTACAAACTATAGAGAACAAAAGAGTAATCTCGGTAGAAACGAGTAGGAACATTTGCTTACTACCACCCATTTCCCTGAAATGTAAAAATATATATGAAAATATTAGCTTCTGCCAAACTTAATTTGCGTTACTGAGATAGAATAATATTTTAAGTGTGGGAGGGCTATACTTTGTAGGCACGAGGGGACTGGCTCGACAGGAATGGTACCACGGCCCCACAGACAACCGACGTGAAACAATGTTTGCGTTAGGTTTGTGAGAGACGTTAGTGGAGGCCCAATCCCTGCAATCTCTAAATCCCCAATCCTCAAATTCTTAACCCCGAAAGACCGGCAACGCACTTGTAACTCTAGTGTTGCGGGTGTCCATGGGTGGCGCCAATTGCTTACCATCAGGTCATTCGTTGTTCTCATTTAAACTTGTTGATGTTGATTCACCATGGCGCCAATGTTTGGTAGCGAAGTTACAATGCGAGCAGTCCGCTCATCACATACTTTGGAAGTGTCATCATCATCATCATATCAGCCACAGGACGGACCACAGCTGAACATAGACCTCCCCCAATTACGTCCAGATGGGCTGTTTGGAAGCGACCTGCATCTAGCGGCTCCATGCGAACTTAATGAGGTCGTCTTTCCACCTTGCACGTGGGCGCTCCTACACTGCAATTGCTGGTATGTGGCCTCCACTCCAGAACCTTTCTGCCACAGCGGCCGTCGGGTCTCCGCGCTATTTTCCCTGGCCTGCTGCCATTTCAGCTTGCTAATCCGCTAAGCTAAGGGTCGGCGACCTTTTTTCTTTTGCGGATTTCTTCGTTTTTTATTCGGTCTCGCGAAGAAACTCCGAGGGCCTCTTTTTCCATAGCACATTGAGGGACCTTGAGTTTTTATTTTTTATAACATAAGCCGGTAACCGAGCAGACGGATCACCTGATGGTAAGCAATCGGCGCCGCCCATGGCCACTCGAAACACCAAGGTGTTACAAGTGCGTTACCGGCTTTTTGGGAATTGGGAATTTCAGGATTGTGGAGGATTCAGGGGTTCGGGAGACAGGGACTAGGGAGGGGGGTAATTGGGCCTCCGGTAACCTCACTCACACGACGAAACACAACGCAAGCGTTGTTTCACGTCGGTTTTCTGTGAGGCCGTGGTATGACTCTGGTCGAGCCGGCCCATTCGTGCCGAAGCATGGCTCTCTCACACACAAGGCCCACAGTAAGAGACCACGTTTCACTTCCATAGAGCATCGGTGACACGCTTTTATTATAGACTTTCGTCTTGAGGCACTGAGATAAGTTGCGTATTTTGCATTGGCAGTGTGGTTTCTGGCAATATGAACGTAAGCGAACATAGTTCATTATACGGATCTTGTAGAATCTACAACTGTGCGTTTAGGCGTTGTGCCATACCTATTATTTTAAAGCAAGTATAACTGCTCACACATAGGATCCACTTAGTTTACACCAGGCGAGACAGTGGCTAAAACGTTAGCCCAACAAATATAAAAAAAACCGTGGTGCTTAACGACTGGCTTCTCCCAGTTGTGCAGTCTCTTTTGTGTCTTTAGGTTTAAGTCATTTTTTCCCTGCATTAATTACACCGAGGGAAGTAGAAACTATCGATTTTTTTTCGTCTCTAATAATATCTTCTGATTTATTTCATTGCGGGATCGAAAACATTTCATGTCCCTCGGATGCACCGGACGGAATGATCCGGTGTTTTTATGGTTGTATCTACTGTAGATCCTAGCTTAAAAAAGTTGCGGCGTTTTTGGGAGGTTGTGGCTGCCATTTATTCGCGGTTTCACCCGCTGTTTGGGTCTTATTGATCATAAAGTTTTTCACTCATAGCTTTCCTCGATGAATGGACTATCCAACACATAATGAATTTTTAAATTCGGACCTCTGAGCCCGGAGCTGAGCGCGAACAACCAAACAAACAGTCACATAAACAAACGATCTCTTCAGCCTTATAATGGCCTGGTCGCACTGAGTTTTAAGTTTTAAGTTTTCATTGTCTTCTTCTTGTTTGTTTGTTCTTTTTTTTTGTTGTTACACACTGTGTCATATGCTGTATTTATTCCTCCTCTCGCAGGGCTGCAGGAATAAATCCCATAAGAGATATGCAGTACCTATGCACCTCCGTTTTGTAGTAATATATATTTTTTTCTGTGTATTGTCTGTGTTGTGTACATAATTAAACAAATAATAATAAGGCGGCAGTATTAACTACGTGACAATTTGTAAAACTGCAAGTGCGGCTGCTTATGTTAGGTTGCTGATTTCTCATAATTATGCGGTTAAAAACCGCCGCGATTTCGTCCTAGTGTGGCCGAGGCCTAATAATTGTGTAAATATACTTACATTTCATGTCGCCAGTTAGTTCATCGTTCACTATACATTTTGCCATATCCAAAACGTTAGTTAGGACGCATTTTATTATATCACTAGTTTTGTTTTGCACAACGGCTGTATCGGAATCTGCAACTAATATTTTTTACAATTAGGTTTTAGTTTAAACTGTCAAACACCAAGCGGTCACCGGTGACCGCAACCTATTGTTCTATAATTGTGTCTGTATTGACGGTACCTACTCGACGAGTTAAGCGATAGAAGTGGTATAAACGATTAGGAGTTATATATAGCTTAAAGTCTAATAACAAGAATACAGTACCATAAAAATTGTACAGCGATCTTTGGAAAGAGTAATTCGGTCAAGTCGGCGCGTGGCCCATCCGTGATTATTTATGAGCCGTTCGAAACTAGTCTAGAACTTGCCTCTGTTCAAAAGTTGATATGTAATATTTATCGCCGGGTAATGAATTTTCTACTTTGAAGTCATTAGTCAGTCTACATGTGTCAGCTAACCTTATTGGACTAGTAGGGCTTTGGAAAATCCTCAGTATTCGAAACGTTCCACTAAATTGTATTATTTTTCCTCAAGTACTTTTCAAAATGTGGAATTGATCAATTAATTTTATTTATTTTCACACTATGGTTCATCTAACCGCTTATATTTTGTAATGATATCGTCTATTAATACTTAATTCTTTGTTTGTACCGCAAATTGTTATTCTTTGTCTATGATTCAAGACAATATACCAAAAACGTTAGTCAATTCTTCTCTGATACAAAACTAAAAAACAAGTTTAAAATGGTAAAAGTCAAACCCCACTAGCACAAGGCACCGCTGACAGACGTGGCACTCTAAGGGTTAAAGTATGTTCTCCGCTATCATGGCTCATATGTTTCCCCCAATGGTTTGAATAAAAATACATAGTAAGTTTAACATTTAAAAATAAACTTACATCTGTTTTCGAGGGTGTCTTCTTCTTTAGCGTTGTATTTGCATGCCACATAATTTGTGACAACATCTGTTAGATTTATGATCTCCATGGTGCCTGGAAAATAAAAAAGCAAGATATTATTTTGCCGTACCTCGTACAACGTTCATTTTTGTCTACGTTTCGGGTATAATTATTAGAACTTAAATGTGTGATAATACAGATAATAATGACCACTTTACTGCGCTATCATTTTTGAACAGCAATGATTTCGTTTCCTTTAAAATGAAGGCGCAAAAAATTATTCTTACTATTCAGTTGATACATACACAGACACACACATTTAAGGGAGCGTTTCCACCAAAGATCTGCTATGCTACGTTGCTATGCATCCACCAATCACATTCATTGCTACACATTGTTTAGCACTGGTAGAAAGGGATTCAACTAAGGTATGTTTTTTATAAGCAAAGATGCGTCCTATGGATGTGTCTAAACTCCATAGAGTATGGATGCATGCAGGCCTCGCCGCTTCCCTACTATAGATACGTCACATAGCTTGAGCTGCGCATCTTACTCGCGCAGCTACTTTGCGGCGGCACATCTTACTCGCACTGCTACATAACTTATTATCTGTGGAAACGGTTCATAGCTTAGCTATTATCTTCGCAGCATAGCTACATAGCACATACGTTCTGGAAAAGCACCCTAATAGAGACTGGTCAGCAGCGATATCTTATGAACATTAACCTCGCGATCCAACCCGCTGGCAAATGGTTCTTATGAGGTCATAATTCAGCAGAATACCTAAGCACAAGCAATACATAAAAATATCCATACCAAATTAACTAAAATTTGCGGGTTACTCAAGTGGAAATACTGAGAAAAGCTCTGCTAGGTTCGAGCCACGGAGGGGCTCTTCTTAATGAGGTTGCGCGACATAGCCATAACCGCGCACGCTGCTCATGAAGAAGAGCTCCTCTATGGCTCGAAACTATTACTAGTTTTATATTCACGTGAGTAACCCGCGATTTTTAGTTAATTTAGTATGTCTCACGATAGTACGTATAATAGGCATGGCGAATATTTTTTAATTTTTTGTCCGTCTTTTAGATATTTTAAAAATCTTCGCTACGTATTTTTTCTTTTTTCTCGTATCCAAAAAAACATGTAGATATTTTGAGTTAAAATGACGCGTGACGTCACACTTAGGTACGATTTCTCCGTAAGTGTGACGTCAACACTCCCTAACTTTAATGCGGAATAATTACGTATTCTTCTGTTAATTTGATAAAACAAAAAATACGTGTCTGATATTTTCGTGCGATCTTAATGACGGACTAATTACTTTTATGATTTTTTTACCCTGTCGACACGCCTATTATAAAATATACCCGTACCATTTTTTATTTTCTCAGCCAAATCCAAGGTTTGCAAATACGCTTGATATTTGCAATATACCTCGGCATCCGTGATGTCTGTCACATTGTCCAAATCAGCTATTGCCACTCCCAAGCACAATACCGCACACAATAGAATATACGATTTCATTTTGACCACTAAAACATTACAATGTAGTAATTCTCTACTTTATATGAAGTTCGTGTAAAGAAAATTGTGTATAAAGTTGTATAGGAATGTTAAAATGTTCGTCTGTTTGATTGTGGTTTGTAAGTGCAATTTTTGAGTAAGTCTTTAGGGTTTCTAATGACACCCCCTACCATGCTCTGAAATGGAAGACGTAGATAAAATGGTCAAAAACTCATTTGGATATTTGCTCCAAAATATACGGTCGAAAACATTTGGCCTTGAATAACATCTTAGCATTTTTGGAAGTCCACTTAAGGCTTAAAAACTTATTTCTTGAATAAAATTAAATTCGACTTCATCTGACAGTTAAAATAAATGTTCCGTTTGTTAAGCTCTCATCTCCTAAATCACTAAACCATTTCCGATAAATTTTAAAAGCGAACATTGAAATGATTTCGATCATGGTGGCCAGTCTGTCTGACTAGACTAGCCCATTACGCAGAAGATATTATTGTGCACAAGTGTGTGCGCGACCACAAGTGCACTCTCTGAACCCGATGGGACGGCAGAACGACACGACCAGGTATAAGTCAGGTGCAGGACTAACGGGTTTATGTGCTTTCCAAGGCACGGGGTTGAAACACCGCCGAACTTCCTGACTCCGGGCTAACAATGGTACATTTTACTCAGAAAACGCCATTATCACTTTTTGGCCAGCACGGGAATCTATACGTTGCTCAGCAGCCGGTCACCCAACCATTGCGCCAACCGTGCTGTGAAATGTCTGTAATGATAGTTGTAATATATATAATTAAGCGTGCTATGGTAAAACAGCAGTAAAAAGCTAGTATAAAAATATGTAAAAAGTAATGAAGCCGATTTGAGATTTTCATGGTATAAAATGGCTGTCCGGTTGAGATAAAATAGGAAACAATCGCGTAGAATATCATTTATATGTGGCGATTAATTGTTCATTTATTATAGTTTTTGTTTTATTAGTGACACTTCAAGGAACGTTTAGATAAGGTGATGTGACATCAGGCTTTTAACCTATTGATGGCTCCACATTAGTGGCGTAAATTCACGCGCGAATTCTCGCTGTGAATTCACGGACCGACTCCATGCCCTCCACATTCACTGAATGCTCACAATCGTTCGAAACCCTCCGCGAGATGAACGTAGAAGCTGCTGCTGCGATAACTTTATGTGACCCTATACCAATAAATATATGTATGTCTAAAACAAGAACAACAACAACAACATATTTCTGCCTCCCTCCCCTCGTGTCGTATTTTTGCGACAGCGAAATGCATGCTTTTTTTGTTCTATCAACACGAGTGCTCTTCCTTATTTGCTCTAGATTTTTTTTTTATTTGCTGCGCTGTATATATTTAACTAAGCTCTTAAAAGTTTTATAATTGATTGGCAGTGGAGCCCATTACTAACATAGTATGCCTATCTTCCTCCCAATGATATCCTAATGTATTACCATTGGTCATGTACCTAGGACGCATCTGACTTTATTTACCCATAATCAAGCGTGGTTCATATGTTCGTATGTTCCCATAATATATCTCCTCTACATAAGCGGCTTTGTATGTAGTCCAGCAATAGATACAACAAGCTGTTGATACTTATACATATCTTCTATATATATAAAAATGAATCCTTTTTTCCCTTGGTCACGGCATCAAGTGTGAATGGCTGGACCGATTTTACTAATTCTTTTTTTTTTTGTTGTATTTGTTATTATTAGGAGAAGGTTCTTATGACAGAAAAAGTCCTGTAAATCCTACGGGAACGGGAGAAAACGAGATTGCGCGTACGAAGTCGCGGGCAGAAGCTAGTTAGTTAATAAATTAAGTATTTTATTAATAAATGTTACTTTTTTTTAACAGACGCAGCAGTCATCTCCTCGGTCGACGCCCAACTCTTCACCGCGTTCCACTAAGAGTCCACCACTACCGGGAACACAGCCGCAACCCAGTGCGCCGGAGAGGTAAGCACGATTATACTTTAGTCTTTATTTCGTTTCAGTAAGGTTGGTTCTACTTTTGACTTATGTTGCAAATTTTTTTAATATAGTTACGCAAAAGAGCAGGCGGTTCACCTGAGGCCTTAGTACAAGTTTCCATTACGTTTAAAGTATTCAAAACGAGTACGCGTTCGGCACTCTGATTGGTCGGCACCAATGAAGCAACCAATCAGAGCGCCGAACGCGTACTCGTTACGATTACTTTAAACGTAAAACAACTCGTACTAAGGCCTCGGGTCGTAAGCGTAATCAGCGTCATCCATGGATACCCACAATACCAGATGTGTTATTAGTGCGATGCCGGCCTTTTAACACAATGATAAATGGGGCTCCGGTAACCTCACTCACACTCTCCGGTTTTCTGTGAGGTGGTATCACTACGGTCGAGCCGGCCCATTCTTGCCGAAGCATGGCTCTCCCACACTTGTATAATATTTTAATTTTCTTTTAGCTCTCTAAGCTGATTAGAGATTATTTATACAACCATGATGAACAGTAGTCCTTTAAATCACTGTGATTTAACAAAATGTTTTTTTGATTTTTGCAGAGAGCCTCCGCCACGAGGTACAGTACGGAGTGCGCCACAAACGCCCTCGCTGGGAGAGAGGGAACGTATCGACATGTCACACAGTCTTGGTAAGCAAAAATAAGAGTTTTAAGTGCCAATTCCTAGAGTAATCTTTGCACGGAGCAAAAATTGATAATCTTATTCTAATATAAAAGAAGTCTTGCTCCTTTTGTGTCAATAGACTCACCCTTTATTAGTTAGATGAGATTTATAAAATAACCAGAACTAGCGAAATGTGAGTGTTGTGTACACAATCTAAATATCATTTTATTATTTGATCACACAGGTATGGAAAGTATGGGTGGCGATGCAAGGAACTTCCATCAAAATCAAAGACCGACTACCAGTGAGTGTAACCCCCAATATTGAAATCAATACATTTAAAATACACATAAATTAATTATTTTTTTAATACTAAATATCGTCAGTGTGTCTGTGAAATATTTTATTTCTCCAATTGCGGGCCTTTGCCTCTTAGAGACCACATAGTCCATATATAATACAATATAAAAGTTATATTTTTTATAAAATATTTTTGATGCCATTGGTACTCATTCGTTTGATACATTAGAAATGAGCAGGTTTAAGTTAGATAAACTATATCTATTTATCCTTAACGGAAATTATGTGCTTAGCGCTAGCTGCAATAATAAATAGTAAGGCTGCGAAATCGTATCTATCGTTTTTTCTTCTCTTCTTACAACAAATATCTTCTGATTCATTTCGTTGCGGGAACCAAGACGGTTATTCATGGTCTCTGGGACGCGCCGGACAATGTTCCGGTGTTTTAATTGTTGTATCTACTGTAGATCCTGGCTTACAGGGGTTGCAGCGGTTCTGGGAGGTTGTGGCGGGCTTATCCCAAAATAATTAAAAAAGGCTTCGAGATACTTCGCATGTTACGTAATGATTATATTGCGGTATTAAGTAAATTGGGTATAAACGAATTTTAGGTTGACGCCTGTCGAGACTTTCATATAATTATCGCAAGGATTATTTAAAATTGAAAAGGGAGTTGAGCAGTAAGAGAAGACATATATACCTACTTAACTTTAACGAAGCAAATTAGGAAAGGCTGATTTAGTAAACAATCATATTAAAGTAAATAAAATTTTAATTAATGGACTTGATTTTTTACATTTTATTAAACCAGAATGATTCTTTCATTTTGTTCCGAAAATGGTAAGGGAAATTTTATGTAAATGTGATAATATTGTTAAATATTTTAAGATTATGGAGGTGCATATGGTGAACCAATTTATTTATTTGATTGTATTTCTAGATTTTAAATTGTTTGATACCAATTTTAATCATTTGAAGGTGCAAAAATGTGTCTATATATAATATCGATTTTGTCCAGTGGGTATAGATAACCGTAGCCTCCGAAGCGATCTGCTGTACGCGGCGGATTCCGTGACCAACGCTATGTCGACGCTCGTTCGGGAACTCAACTCCGGTTAGTTGCAGCCACGATACAAATGTGGAACTTTTGATAATGTCACCGCCATACGTCTTGTATTGTTGGTTATATATACTGGAATATAAAAAACGTGAAGGAATTTAAATAAGTGAGGATCGTAGTTCCTCTTCTCTATGAAATTTATGTATGTATAAAAACTTGTTTATTGAAAAAAATAAGAAGAAAAACAAAAAGGTAATGAGTAAAATCCTTATATTATTCTTCCAAAAAAGACGTTTTTAGTTAAATTTTGGTAATTTACTGAGAGAGCTTTCAAAATTGATTAGGAATTTATTGTGGTATGCGCACGTGTCTATTATCTATTATAGCTGTGGAATATTGATCAGGAAAGATGTAGTAACTACCTATACTTCTGATATGTTCATGATCTAAGAACCAGGAAACTATAAATATGATTTGCAGACAAAGGTTGGTATGGCAACAGTGAAGGCTCTGGAGGTGACATTATTAAAATTCCGTCTCTTTCAATATACTTCCGTCCTTTGATTTGATAACTAAATAGTTGGAATTTGAATATCGGACTGTTTTGAAGCATTGGGCATGCTTGTGTCACTTGTATGTTTCTATAAGATTTTCTACGGTTCGGGCTTGACCGTTACGATTGACAGACAATCTAGTTAAAAAATATATGCATGAGATCTTCTGCGCAATATTATTGTTTCAAAATGAACCCTATGCTGTGTATGAAAGGGTCGATTAATGATTTAAAATGAATATATATAGATTCATATGTTATTTTTCTAAATTTCTGCTTACTGTTGTACAGTTTTCTAGTAAGTAAATCACTTAAGTTAGTCCACTAGAAGTACCTAAATGTTATATTAGAATCTGAATTAAAACTAATATAAGTTTAAGACGTCACGATACCTTTGTATTACAGTAACTAAATGTTAAAATAAAAAGAGAACAAGAAAACTAGTTATCAATAAAATCGAAATACATAACA